AGAAAAATTAAAAAACCAAGTTCTAATATATAATAAAAATTACGTTATATGAATAGCAACATTGATAATAAGAAAATAAGCAATAAAATTTTCGGCATTGACCTTGGAACAACTAATTCCTGCATTGCTGTTATGGAGGGCAAGGACACAAGAGTATTAGAGGCTCTGGATGGGTCACGCACCATTCGCTCCGCAGTAACTTATAGCAAAGAAGAAGGGAGATTTTTAGTCGGAACTGATGCCGCTCGCCAAGCCGCAATTAAACAAGTTATTTTCTCAGTTAAAAGATTGATGGGACAAGAACTCGAAAAAAGCGAGATTAGAGAAAAATATAAGGATAGATTTATTTTCGGCCGAGATACCAAAGATGGTCGCTGAAAGATCAGTCTTGGTAAGAACGAAAAAGGTGAAGAAGTGTTATTAACGCCGGAACAAATCTCCGCACACGTGCTAAGTTATTTAACTGGTTATGCTGAGGATAGATTAGGAGAAAAAATTAAGAAGGTGGTAATTACTGTCCCTGCTTACTTTGATGATAACCAAAGGCAAGCCACCAAAAATGCGGGAATAATCGCTGGTCTCGAAGTGGAAAGAATTATTAATGAGCCTACTGCGGCCGCACTGGCCTACGGGTTAGACAAGGCAGAAAAAGGACAAACTATCCTAGTTTATGACTTAGGAGGAGGAACCTTTGACGTTTCGGTTCTCCAAATTTCCGAAGGTGTTTTTGAAGTTCTTTCCACCGCCGGAATTAATACCTTGGGTGGTGATGACTTTGACAAAAAAATAGTTGATTATTTAATTCAAGAATTTGAGAAAAAAAACAGGATTAATTTGCGAACCAAAGACCAAAAAGAGATGGACCGTCGTATGACTCTACAAAGATTACAAGAAGCTGCTACTAAGGCCAAGCACGAGTTATCTGGCAGTTTAGAAACTACGGTCGCTCTACCTTATATTGCTTCAAAAAATGGAGAAACACTTCACCTTGAAATAAAGATTACCCGAGCCAAATTTGAGAAACTAATTGAAGGACTTGTCAAAGAAACGATGAAAGAGGTTGATAAGGCTCTTCAAGAGGCGAAAAAAAAATCAGGAAAAGGATTAGAGATTCAGCAAATTGTTTTGGTTGGAGGTTCAACCCGTGTGCAGTTGGTTCAGGAAGAAATTAAAGGGAGATTCGGGGACAAAAAAATTAACAAGTCAGTTAATCCAGACGAAGTGGTAGCCATTGGGGCGGCTATTCAAGGTGCGGTTTTGCGTGGAGACATTAAAGATATTGTGCTCTTGGATGTCACGCCGCTTTCCCTAGGTATTGCTACACTAGGGGCCCGAGGCGAAGGAGAAGTTAACGATATAATTATTCCGCGTAATACTACTATCCCGACCTCCGTTAGCCGTGTTTACTCGACAGCCGAGGACAATCAAACTAGTGTTCATATTAGGCCGTTACAAGGAGAAAGAACCCGAGCCATGGATAATAAAGTATTAGGTAGTTTTGAATTGAGTGGTATTAAATCGGCTCCACGGGGAGTTCCCCAAATCGAGGTTACTTTTAGTATTGATTCTAACGGAATAGTTAACGTTAAAGCCCAAGATAAAGAAACCGGAAAAAAGGCAGAAATTACCATTCGGGAAAGCCAGAATTTAAGCGAAGCCGAAGTGCAAAAAATGGTGCAGGAGGCAGAGGAAAATCGAGAAAAAGATGAACAATTTAAGAAGAATGTGGAAACACTGAACCGAGCACAAACTTTCTGTTATACTTTTGAGAACCAAAAAAAAGAATGGAAAAAGCATAAAAATTTTAAGGAAGATGACCCCCAATTCCAACAATACCAAAATTATTATAATGATTTACAAAAGGCGGTGGATGAGAAAGATTACGAGAAAATAAGAGAGGAAAGTAAGAAAATTGAGGAGTTAATGAAACTATCCGAAGAATTAAGACAAAAAATGCCATCCCAAGAAAGCGAGAAAAAAGAAGGAGAGGAGGAGGAAGAAATTGTGGATATTCAACCTGAGGAAAAGGATAAAGAATAAGAAGATAAATTTTCTCTCTCCATTTATTGGTTCTCTCCCTTAAATTATGCCAAAAAATGAACTTAGGGCAAAGCGAGAAAAAAATGGAGGCTAGCCTCCATAAGGAATAATTAAATCACAACTTTTGCCCAAATTTTTTCCAAATCTATTAAAGCATCACGTAAAACAATAGCCTGGTCAAAACGAAATTCTCGCGTGGATTTTTTCATTTGCCGCCGTAAATTTTTTCGTAGTTTTGACAACTCTTTTTCACTCATTTTCCCTCGTTGGGCTTTTTCTACTAAAACAGATATAGCGGAGTCTAAAACTATATCCTTAACCGGCTTTTGAATAGTTTGGGGAGTAATATTGTTTTGTAAATTATGAGATTTTTGCAGTTGCCGACGGCGGTCAGTTTCCTGGATAGCACCTAACATATTTTTCGTCTTTTCGTCAGCGTAAAGAATGACTTTACCACTTTTATTTCGCGAGGCTCGGCCAATTATTTGAATTAGCGAACGGGTATCCCGCAAAAATCCGGGCTTGTCGGCATCCAAAATACAGACCAAAGAAACTTCCGGCAAATCAATTCCTTCTTTTAACAAATTAATCCCTACAATTACATCATAAACTCCCCGCCGTAAACTAGTAATCGCCTGATAACGCTCGAAAATCTCTAAGCGGCTGTGTAAATATACTACCCGAATATCTTTCTCGCGGAGATAACTAGCAATTTGCTCGGACATGACGATAGTCAAAGCATAAATAAGCACTTTCTCCCCTCGGCTGGCTTTTTCAGTGATTTCACGCATAATATCCGCAATCTGGTTAACGGAACTCCGCACTTCAATTTCTGGGTCTAAAAGCCCTGTGGGACGGATAATTTGTTCGACCGGTTGGTAATTTACCTTGGCCATTTCGAAATTGCCCGGAGTGGCCGAAACATAAAGAGTGTAATCGAGCTTCTGAAAAAACTCTTCTTGGTTGAGCGGCCGATTATCAAAAGCCGAAGGCAAGCGGAAACCGTATTTTACCAAGGTTTCCTTGCGTCTTCGGTCGGTATTATACATGGCTCTAACCTGAGGAATAGTAATGTGTGATTCATCAATAATAGTCAAAAATCCCTCCGGAAAATAATCTAATAAGACAAAAGGAGTTTCGCCTGGTTGCCGACCATCAAAATACCGGGCATAGTTTTCAATGCCCGGACAAAAATCCCGGTCTCTTAAATCTTGTAAATCTCGGCTAGTTTGAACCTCTAGCCTTTCAGCTTCGAGAAATTTGCCTCCTTTTGCCAATTCCTCTTTTCTTGCGGCTAGTTCTTGCCTAATTTTCGCCAGAACATTTTCTTTTAAATCAACTCCCAAAGTTTCTCCTTCTTTAACGTAATCAGCAACGTAATCCTGAGCCGGCGGAATAGCAATTTTCACCAAACTTTCAACTTTCTCCCCAATTTGTTTGTTCCACCTTTCTATTTGCTGAACTTTGCCATCTTTAATAACTATTCGAAAGTAATAATCTTCCTCCCACTTCAACATAAAAAAAATACTACTCTCCCTCGTCTGATAATTCCCACCATCAAGATTTTTCCCCTCCTGATAACCAAGACGACCTAACTCTTCCAGAATTTTTTCGGTCCTAATCTCTTCACCAATTGTTAAACGAAATACCACTCTCTGGTAAGAAGCGGGATTAAAACAACCATAAATCGCGGCTACTGAGGCCACTACGATTACAAAATCATCCGACCAAAGAGAATTTAATGTTTTCAGCCGCATTTTGGCAATGCTGGCATTGCGTTGAACTTTCTTACTAATATAAGTATTGCTCTCGGGCTTATAAGCCTCCGGCTGATAATAATCAAAATAAGAAACATAGTACTCTACCTTATTATGCGGAAAAAAGCCTTGCATTTCCTGGTAGATTTGCATGGCTAAGGTCTTATTAGGAGCCAAAATTAAGGTGCTTTTTTGGGACTGCTGTATAATATTAGCCATGGTAAAAGTCTTGCCCGTGCCGGTGGCTCCTAATAATACTTGTTCTTTTTGACCTTGCTGGATACCCCGAACTAGCCCGGCAATGGCTTTCGGTTGGTCTCCACAAGGAAAAAAGTTAGTTACCAGTTGGAACATTTGTAATCATTTTTAAGTAAAAAAGATGAATATAAAAAAAATGCATGACTTGAAAAAAAAAAAGTTAGATTTGTGCATAACTTGTCAAACTCCGATTTATGAGGGTGAAATTGTTCATATTGTAGATGTAAATAACCCAAAACAGCCTGTTCCTAATTTCATTTTGAACCAAAAAACCCCCACTGACTTCTTTTTTCAGTGCGATTGGTGTTACCAAGAATGACAAAAGGATCTGCAAATTCTAATTGGGGGATTATCACAGATATGAAATAAGATGATTTTCGGTTTGCTGCTTTTGGTTAATGTAGTAATAATATTTTTTTTAGTTAATTGGTTATCAAAAAAGTTTTTAAATTATACTTTTTTTAATTTTGAAAAGGATGGTGCGGAAATGTTTACAGCGAAAGTGATGCTGATATTACTGATAATAGTGTTTCCGGTTTTTCTTTTGGAAATATGAGTTATCAGAAAACTAGCCCCCGCAAATAGGGACAGATTTAAGATAAGAAAGAAAAATACTTAATCTTTTGGCTTAGAAAAATCAATTTTTTTTGTTTCTTTGCTAACGAGAGTCAATTTGTCTCAAGAATAAAAACCATTGGTTTCGACTGTATCTAATAGCACAAAACTTTGGCCTACGATGGAGGAAATCCGTTCTACTTTCGTTGGATAAAAATCCCCCGGAGAAGTTATTCTTTTAGTTTGTAAAAATCCTTCGAATAAAATAAGGTCATTTTTGCGTCATTTATCAATGACTTCGAAAAATAATTCACCTTGAATACGACAAAAAAATGTATTGAGAGGATTCTCCTTGGTTGGAACTTCTATCTTAAAGGAAAAAACATCCTTTTCCCTACTAACCACTTCACAATTATTAATTATTCTTCCCAATAATCGGACCTGGTTAATTGCCTTGTCGGGAACCCCAGACAATTTGCTAAAATCAACCACTTGAATTATTATTTGTCGTCCTTCTTTTTCGTTCCGTAAGTAGCCTCTTACTTCTATTATCTCCTCATCAGAAACTTCTGCTTGTAAAGTCAGAGCCGTTTTTCCATTGGCATGGCACCGTAATACCGTTTGGACTTCATTAGGATTAATGACTAGCAAACTAAAATAGACTAACAACTCTTTGGTCAAACTTTTTTCTTTAATTTCTCGCGGCAAAACTTTACCGACTACTCTGATTTTATTCAACAACATGTTTTTCCATAAATTTCGTTTTTTTCTGATCCGTTAAGTTAATTAAATTATAACGAGAAAGAAGAGTAGGAGATACCATCTGTAAAATATTTTTTTGGAGTTGGGGTATTTTGTCTCGCGAGGCAGCAAAGTAAATAACTCAATAAACTCCACTCACAAACTGTTTAATCGGATAAGCCGGCTTTCAATTTTTCTCCTCTTGAATTTCAGTAATATTTTCTTTACCCACCAAATTTTCAATATCAGTAATTAATTTTTCATACTTAGCAATATTTTCCTTCCTGTTCCCCAAACAAAGCAATTCATATTGACAAATCTTTTTTTCTCTCGTCATTTAATTTCTATATTTTACACCAAACAATTTAATTTTCCAAAGAATTTCTTCGGAGGCGAAAAAGAATATTGGTAAAATGAATGATAAGTATAAGTAATACGATGAAGAAGGTCATTTTTTTTAAGTTCGCCAAACAATTGAACGAAAGCGAGTGGAGAGAAAAAATAGGCGGAAAAGAGACTATAACAAAATGAATGCTGGTAAGGAATAATTTTCCCTCTGATAATTACTACTTCTTGGAAGTTAAGGATAAAGTTGTTTGTGAATATAAGTTTGTTAATATTCTGGCTCTTCGTAAAAAAGGGGGATGGGCTGATTATGAAAATTTGTTTACTCGCCAAACTATTTCCAATCAACCCTGTCTCTTGCGGTTGGAATATGATTACAGTGACAATGTAGATAATGATTGTAGTGACGTTTTATGGATAACAAAAAGAAACTTAGATAACTGTTGTTTAGTAGTTATTAATGATAATTGAGACCTAAGAGCCGTCCTTTCCGACGGACTGCTTAATTTTCGTTTAGATCGAGAAATAGTTTTCAATACCACTTATGAGGATGATGATGGGTGGATAGAACTACGAGGGGCTGTGGAAAGGAATGAAAATCAGGACATTCCGAAAATAAATCTCATTAATTTGTGGACGAGCCCGGCAAGATGAGAAAATAACTGAAAAAAAATTTTTCCGCCCGGCCACGGAAAAAATTCGGTTTCCATAAGAAATATAGACAATACCAAAGTTAATTTTGAGGTAGACGGCTGAGGTTTTGGCACACTTGATATGTATGATTATGGTGAGGGCAGAGACAGTTTCCCTCTTGGTTCAATATCATTATCTGATGCCCATCAAGATTATTCAATACTACCTATTTTAGAAGATAATGATGATTCAAGAGAGAGAGAGAGAGAGAGAGAGGATATTGATGCCCCTTCTTGTCGTTCCTCTTTTTCCAAACTTGGCTCAAACCGAACAGAAAATTCCTTGGGGAAAATTGCTTTAATGGGCTTAATAATAGTGGTAGCGGTCGGCGGTGGTTCGGCTTTATTTGGCTATTTTTTTCTCCGGAAGAAAAATAAGAGTAATCAAAAAATTACGGAGAAATAGTTAATACGAAAATTTAGATATTAGGAAATGTTTTAACATTCCTCGCCATGAATGGAAAGAGATTTTAACTACTTATTGAAAGGAATCAAAAATTTTCTCAAAAAAAGACATGGCATTATCGTTCTGACGGCTCGGTTTAAACGCTCACGATACGCCGTTCTCGAACATTAAAATGTGCGAGTTTTGCCAACCAAAAGAGGTATTTATTAACCAGATTTGGAGGGGTTTTTTAAGTATCAAAGCCTTTACTCGTGGCTTAAATACGGATTTGTTAAAAAAACAAAAATTTTCTAGAAGAAAAAAGTTTGCATAATGTATAATAAAAATTGATAAAAGCATGGCAAGCAATTCGGCCGTAATTAGGGAAAAAATTCAGACCAAAGAAGCCGAAATTAGAAAGATTTGAGAAGAAATTAAAAAAGAAAAGGAAAAACCAAAACTGGAAATAATTGAGGAGTTAAAAGGAATTAAACGCACCACTGGTCAACATCCTGGTGGTTTGTTGATTGCTTTACCCAACACCGATATTCATAAATACACCCCTTTAAACTACCCCGCTGATAATCGACAGGCTGAGTGAAAAACTACCCATTTTGAGTATAGTTTTTTGTCCCAAATGTTCTTGAAAGTTGACATTTTGGGACATGACGAACCGACAGTTTTACAAAAATTATTCCAGTTAACCGGTATTAATCCGCTAAAAATTTCTTTCCGAGAACCCAAAATAATGAAGATTTTCACGGAGGCTGACACCCTCGGTATTCCGGAATTTGGCACCGATTTTGTGCGCGGAAGGTTGTTGAGAGATTTAAAGCCGACTAAATTTTCTCAACTAGTGCAAATTTCCGGATTTTCTCACGGAACTAACGTTTGAACTCAAAATCAACAAGGGATTTATCGCCGTAAAGAGTTAGCTTTGCACGAACTAATTGCTTGCCGCGAAGATATTTGAAATTTTTTGGTTTCGTGGGGGGTTAACAACAAAAATGCTTTTATAGCCACCGAATATATTCGTAAAGGCAAATGAGAGGGCTTGGATGAGAAAATCAAAGAGGAAATAAAAAGTAAGTTGAACGACCGCGAAGGAGAATTATATTTTTCTATTTTAAGCAAAATCCAATACATTTTTCCCAAGCCCCACGCTATTGCTTATACCATGACTGCTTGGCGAACCGCTTATTACAAAGTTTATTATCCGCAAGAATTTTATTCAGTGCTTTTAACTTGTCATGCCGCCGTCTACGATATTTGACTGATGACTTTACAACCTCACGCTATTGCTTTCCGTTTAAAAAATTTGTCAGAAAATCCTTTCAATTACAAAAACAGCGAAAAAGAGTTGGTTTCTATTGTCAGAGTTTTGCAAGAGTTAATAAAGGAAGGAGAGAGAAGAAACCCCAGTAATCGGAAAATAGCCAAAATTTCTGCCGTTTTAGAAAACATTAAGCAAAAAAAAGATGATTTGAGGAACAATGGTAAAACGTGGAAATTTACCATGAAAGAAAAACAACTTTTATTTACTTTGAAAATAATTTGAGAAATGGAGCAACGCCAACTTGGCTTTATGCGGGGAGTGGACTTAAATAAATCGGAAATTAAAGACTTTAAAATTACCAATAACACTATTTTTTTTCCTCTTACTGCTATTTCTGGCATTGGGGAAAAAGTAGCCGAAAAAATTGTTAACTATCGGAAAGAAAAAAGTCTCATTACTAGCAATTGGTCAGAAGAATTAAAAGAAACACTAAACACTAACCATTTGGAGCAGTTATCTAACCTTCAAAAATACGACCTATTAATTAATTTATAATATTGAACTAATTTGGCGAGAAAAAAAAGAAAAAGCCCTACTCCGTTATGAAATTAGTGAGTGTATTAAGGAACTTACTCGCAAAAAAAAAGCGAGCCAACCAGTGTCAAGTCGAAGAAAAAATTAAATTAGTTAAAAAAAACGTTAATGAAAACAAAATCTTGTCAGAATTAACCAATTATTCTTCCAAAAAAACTAACAATTTTCCTCTTCGCTTCAATGTGATACATTAGAAATATGAATAGGAATCATAATCTCTTTTAATTGGCTCTTCTTGCGACTTTCGGCTGTGGACTTATCATACTTTTTGCGTGTGGCTTTTTTTAAGTAGACAACTTGGCACTGCTGGTCCAAACACGAAACATAATCCACGAGCCCCCAGAATTTCCCTGTCCGAACTTTTACTAAATCTCCGGCTTTTAATTTGCTTTTGTTTCTTTTCATCGCCTTTCTTAATTTTTTTGTGGTTGGCAAACATCCAATCTTGATTGAACCGCTGTTATATTATTTTAACTGAAAATTTTTCGCAATTTTTCCCGCCTCTTCTAACCAAACAGTGATAACAAGTTTTTAGTTTTTTAGTTCGGCTGGAGCCTGAAAAAAATTTACTTCTTTTCTTTACTACTCAACTGATTGGTAAGACCAAAATAAATAACCACCTTTCTAGTCTCGGAATTATTTTTTTTGACCAAATTGACTAGTAAATAGTTTTTTTCTTGTCAAAATTGGGGATTATTTCCCCCTCACTCGATAATATTTAAGTTGTCGGTCGTTAATTCGGCCAGAAAATCTAAATCATCAGTGGAAGTTAAGCGAAAAAAATCGAAATGATTTAAATAATAGTTGTTCCCAATCTGGTATCTTTGTAAGATATTAAAAGTAGGAGAAGTTATTTTCTCTTTAATCCTGAGTTTCTTAGTTAGGAATTGGACTAGTGTCGTTTTACCAACTCCTAATTTTCCTTGTAGAATTAAGTAAGAGTTAGGTCGCAAGAAAGGCATTAGTAGTTGACTTAATTTTTCGTAATCAGTCTTTTTTTTTACTGTCATTCGCAAGATTGCCATTATTAATTTGTTGATTTTTTAAATCTCTGTTCTTTTTTTGCTTACTCCGTTTTTTTTCTCAAAGAAAAATCACAATAAAAAATATTAAAAAAGAAGCTCTTGTAACTCAGAGGAATAGAGTGCTTGTTTCCTAAACAGGTTGTCGGAGGTTCGAATCCTTCCAAGAGCGCCATTTTTCAAAAAAAACGGATAAAAACTAAATATTAAAAGCAATGCCATGAAAAGATGCCTTCATTGTAATAAACCGGAAAAAGAGACGTTAGAAATGACGCATTGAAGAGTTGCTAGGTCTTTTACAATAGGTGGTTCTCCCGCTGATTACTGCGATTGTGAAGTTGTTACCACTTCTCTCCATCCCGAACTAGGCCGTGGTGTTTTTCCAACTAATATAACACCGCAAATAACATTCCCCCAAAACAATTTACCGCCAACAATACAACAAAATACTCCTCAAAATACTCCTCAAAATACTCCTCCAACACAGCCGCAGTGAAAAAAAGAAGACAAAATTTTAGTTTGAAAAATATTTGGTGTTTTTCTTATCGCTTTTGGTGTTATTGTCATCTTGTGAAAAAGTATAGATGAGTCAAAAGCAAAAAAATCCCCTAATCAAAAGAGGAATTAAAGAGAAATAACACTAACGATTGTAATCAGAAAAAGTATTTTTGCCTTGTTAGCTCAGTTGGTAGAGCACTTGACTCTTAATCAATAGGTCGTAGGTTCGAATCCTACACAAGGCACCAGAAATCTTTCCAAGCACAAAAAACTTGTTTTTATTAGTAGTTTTTTGATAAGTTGTTTTTTCAATCCCTAGATTTCCCTGCTAAATTAGCGTTTTTTGCAGTTTACCAGTTTTTATGATTTTTTCAAAATTAGTTTAGTTTTTTACTAATTCCGTCTTGTTCGTGGAAATCGTTAAAAATAACTTTTTCCCGTAAGTTGTTTACTAAATAGCCTCGGTCAGTAAAAAATATTCCTTCGCTGGCCAATTTTTTTCTTTTTATTTCGGGTCAACTTCCTTCTCCTCTGCCCGTAGCAAATCCTCCTAGTGAAAAATTGGAATTAATAACACGATAACAATGAATAGTTTCACAAGAAAAATCACGAAAGTCGGTTTTTGTCGCACAATCACACTGACTTAAAATTTTACCCACCACTCGGGAATAATGAGGGCCGCCATACGCCGCCACGGCCAGATGTTTGTAAGTCGAAACTTGGCCTGTTGGTATTTGGGAACAAAGTTTATAAACACGAAAAGGACTTTTCATTTTTACTTAATTTTTTTACTTTTGACTTGGCGTTACAGAATAGTCGAGCCGTTTCTTTGGTTCTTTCGGAATTGTCTTTTTTGTCTTCGAACAAAAAACTAACTATCACCAAGAATAACACTACTGAGAGCGAAATCAGATATTATTCTGTTCTCTCTCTCTCTCTCTCTCTCTCTATTTCTCGAAGTTGAGCCTGAAAAAATTCACTGAAAGTTTTTTCTGAAACAACCTCTGAGTTTTTTTGGTATGTTTGTTTATCTTCTCTAATCTTAATTAGTCTTTTGTGGTATTTTTCGATGTTGCCATTAAGTATTTTTTCATTGGAAGAGAGTGAATAAATAATCGCCTTTCCGATATCGTTTAAAGAAATCCCACTTTTTTCCGGGCACTGTTCTTTTTCTTGCCAAGTAATTTCTTTAATTTGTGGTCAATAACTTTCCGGAAAAATTATTTCTCACTCTTTTTTTTTAGTTATATCTTTGCTAATACGATCAAACTCTTTCTGCCAGTAATCTATTATCCGGTCAAATTCGCCTTTTTCTTTGGGATAATCAACTTTAATCTTAAAACCTAATCTTCCGGGTCGCACCAAAGCCTCATCTAATACGTGGTGGTGGTTAGTTATACCGATAATTATTATGTTGAGATTTTTTCGATTTATCTCGTCAATATTGGTCAACAGACAATTAACTGCTTCCACATTTGTTTGTTCCGAAGAAAAAGTTTTGGTTCCCACCGATTCAATTTCGTCGATGATAATTACTACCGGCTTTCCTTCCTCGCCTCGGGCTAATTTCCTCTTCGCTTCCCGGAAAAGTTGGTCTTGCTTAGCTTTACCCGAGCCGTGAACAAACTCCATCATTAGATTAACAAAAACGTAAGAGGACGCTTCATTCTTACCAATCTCTTGAGCCAAGTAACTTTTTCCCGAGCCGGGCGGACCATAGAGTAAAAGATGTTCTTGTTCCAATCCAGGTATTCCTAGCCCACATTTTTTTCGTCCCTCCAAAAATTCTTTTACCTCTTCTTTGATTTCTTGGGGAAACACTGAGTTTTCTAGTCAATCCGAGGATTTTTCTTCTGCCTTGGAACGAACAAAAACTCCGGGCGAAGAAGAGCGAGAAAAAATTCCTCCGCGACCTCAGCCCAAGGCCCAACCCAGACCATAACCCAAGCACATCGCTTGAATAATCAGACCTATTAATCCGAGAAAAAATCTCCACAAATTTTCCCCTATCTTTATTAAATTTCCTTTACTTAGTTGGTTCTCGATAGTATGATTCATATGTTATATAAGTAATTGTGATTGTATTTTAATCTTTTTTTTGGTGGAGATAGAGGGATTCGAACCCCCGCAGATTTTATTCCCTAGCAGTTTTCGAAACTGCCCCCTTCGGCCGCTTGGGTATATCTCCAAAAAAATTACTACTTGTTGAGAAATTTTAGCCTGAATAGCAGATTTAGCCAACAAAATATTAATTAATTCGCTTAGTGTTTGATTCAATTTCTTACTAGTTTTTCTGGCAAAAATAAATAAGACGGTATTTGGCGTGAAGTTTTAATTTTTTTTTTATAACAAACAGAATTAATTACTAATGACTACCCAAGTTATTTATCAGTTAGATTCCGAAAAAAATTTTCGTTCCTTTATAATTAAGAACCACGCTAACTATACGGAGAAAGGCCGAGATATTGTTTGCGCCGCCATTTCGGCCGTCACTAACGGCACCATTAATTTTCTTTCCCTCCATTACTCTAATGATTGTCAAATAACTTGTTTACCGGGCAAAATAATCATTTATCCTACTATCAGAGACCGCAATTGTCAGTTATGTCTCAGTCTTGTGCTCTACCAACTGAAAAATATTGCTAATCAGTATCCCCGTTACTTAAAAATTAGGGAGGAAAAATTTTCTAGCGACGAAATTTTGGTTAAGTAGTTGACAATTACTATCCAACTTGCTAACTTGCTAAACTCTCTTCTTTTTCTCTCCTATCAAATTATGTCCTTCCATATCATAATACTGGTAATTATTCCCCAAAAATTTTATTTTTATTCTTACCAGCAGATATCCTATTAACCAGAAAGTAAAAAAGGTGATTAGAATATAGCCAACGAGAAAAAAAATTCGGTTCAATTTTCCTTGCCTCAGTTCGTTTAGTCATTTATCAGCATCGTGATATCACACCACCATAAATTTTTTGAATTTTAGGATTAGTCCGTTGTTGGTGGTGATGGCCTTTAAAAACACTTCCTCATTACGATAAGTGATAAGCCATTTACGCAGAAAATTAGCCAGAGTAAAAAAAATCGGATGGAGATTAACCATTTTCGTAAAAGACCAAAAATTCTGCTTTTGGATTAAGGTTTTTTCAATCTTGGCTTGTCAGAAAAAGTAAATTAACGAACTAATAGGTGCTAAGTAATGCCAGATAATTGAGTAAAGTCACCATTTCCAGTTTCTTGCGGCGTATAACATTTCTCGCCGAGTTAAAAGAACTGAACTAAATACGAAGATGTTAACAAAATTACTTATGGCCACTACCGTCCCTAAACCTTTCATTTTTTTTTCAGTCAACTCACAATAATCATAAAAGACGGATAGGAAAGAATTTCAAACACACCAATGAATAGTAAAGAATTCTCAAATATAATGACCGGGGAAATATTGTAGTTTGAATTCTAAGAAAAAAGAACAAAAAACAGGAAAAATATGTAAAATTGTGTTAATTATTAAAAATGAGAGATTGTTTTTTTTTTTTTTTCATAATCGCTTCTTTAACATTGAAAGAATCTATACCAAACTAAAAAATACTCGTAAACTACTGTCTCCGTTTCGCAATCCTATTTTGGTGATACGGCTATATCCGCCCGGTCTGTCTTGATAGCGTTTTTTTAAATCGGTAAATAATTTTTTCACTACTCCCGAATGTTTTTTATTGACTAAATAACGCAATGCCATTCGTTGGGTGTGTAAATTATCTTGCTTGGCTCAACCAACAAGTTTAGCCAATAATTTGGTTAAGGATTTAGCCCGCGGCAGACTAGTTTCAATTTTTTCATACAAAATAGCATCGGCTACCAAATTATTAATTACTCTTCTTCTTCACGCACCAGTTTCCCCTGGCTTATTGATGTAAGACATTGCTTAATTAAATTATTTATAACGATTTTTCAAATTCTCGACTTAAATTGTCAAGAAAGCGGGAAATCCGGGTCGGGTGATTTGGACTAATTGTTGGGGAAAAAGAATGGTAATTCTTGACCTGACTTTAATTCGACTAACACTTTTTTTCGTAATTTAGTATAAATTTTCCCCGGTTTTTTTTGTTGCCAACGCAAGGGGGCCAGAACTGGTTTTTGGCGAATAGTGCGAACTTTTTTGACCTGAACTCGAAAAAAATTTTCGAACTCCTTTTTAATTTGAAATTTATTAGCGGAGGGGAGAACATAGAAAGAATAAATTTTATTTTTCTGATATTCACGGAGGCTTTTAGCACTAAAAATCGGTTTTTGAATTAACATACTAATTAATTAATTTATTAGGCGAGTAACTACTAATTATCTCCTTAATAATATTTTTTTTAACGCTAGTTGAATAAGCACTGCCATTACGAGCCAGGTCAATTAAAATATCCAGGATTTTAAGTAGTCGGGCTGAGGCTTGAAATTGATTAAAAATTACTCCTTGCCCCGTGCTCCACAACAAACAAATGTTTTTTCCGGTGCATAAATATTGAATAAGTAATTGGATTTCGAAAATTAAGCGGGCCACCGGACTCTCATTGGCTCTAATATTGCTAGTTTTCAATTCAATAATACAATCTTGGAATTCTAAATCAACATAAGTGGCTAATAATTCACCTTTATGGAAAGCGTAATATAATTTTTCGCTGCCACAAAAAGAATTAAGCGGTTCCTTTTTGAGAAAATTAATAGTTTCGTGGATTTTTCGTTCTAACTTGCTTAAAGTGGTTATCAGAGTTAAATCCACCAAAGGCGGGTATTGTCCAGTTTGAAAAAAATCTTGGATGGTTTGGTGAAATAGTTTTCCGTTGCGGGCTGCTCTTTGGAGAATAAGAAGTGGCACCTCGCCGTATTCCATCTCTTTTAATATTTTGGTTAGAGTATTAGCACTTCACGCTTTTTGGTCTTGATAATAAGGTCACAAAAGCCCGCTTGTTTCTGAACGAAATAATTTAATTTCCTCTTTTTTCATAAAGACAGTGATATTTTTGTATATTTGGGAGCCTGGAAATAAACCTGATATTAACAAAAAAAAAAAAATCTAAAAATTCGGCCCAAGAAGAACAATAATTTTTACCAAATTAGAAAATTGGCGCCTAGGGGAGGAATCGAACCTACGACCTGCCGGTTAACAGCCGGATGCTCTGCCGCTGAGCTACCTAGGCTTCAAATTTTCTAATCGTTATTACCAATCTCTCGGATTTTCCGACGAACTTTCCGTCATTGGTAGAAATGGTAAAATCACACTCCAATCAAACAAAGGCCAATAGCGGCCGCTATCAAACTACCATAATCTGCCCACGCTCAATCTTCATCAACCAAATAATCTGTGAATTCTTTTGCTCAGTCCTCTTTACCTATTATAGCAAAAAGCGAATTAATACTTTGGCCAAAAAAGACAAATGCCCACTCCAAACAGTTCTCATGAATCGGCATTGTTAACGCACAAAATCCAATTACTACTTAGTTTTTCCCACCGATTACTTTCTTCTATTTCTAATTCGGTCAAAGTAGATGTGTCGTCGTTTTTTTTTTTTTTTCACTACTTATTGGTGGCGGGGGTAGGATTCGAACCTACGACCTTCGGGTTATGAGCCCGCTAAGCTACCACTGCTCCACCCCGCGATGAATTTTTATTTTAGTTTTTTTAACTCTTCGTAAACTTGGGGATTACGTTTTTTTAGATAAGAAAAATATTTTTTTTGCCGGGCGATTTTTTTTAGTAAGGCTCGTTTGGCCGGAACGTCTTTTTTATTTTGGACTAAATGCTTTTTTTCCTTGGCAATCTGTTCCCGTAACAAAATTAATTGGTATTCTGTGGACCCCGTATCCTGTCCGTGTTGACGATATTTTTCTAGTAATTCTTGTATGGTTACCATTATTTATATGTTTTATTATGGGGCGAATAGTGAGAATTGAACTCACGAATGCCAGTTCCACAAACTGGTGCGTTAACCACTTCGCCATATTCGCCGTGGAGCGAGCGACGGGACTCGAACCCGCGTCCCTGGGCTGGCAGCCCAGCATTTTACCACTCAACTACACTCGCAATAATCAGCAATAGTTAATTATAAGTATTATCATGTTTTTCGTAATTTAATTAAAGCCCAATAATAACAGAAAAACAACCAAAAAAAAAAAAAAAACGATTTGGAAGGAAAAGAGTTTTAAAATAGAAATCCATTATGAGCGATATAAAAAAAATAGAATTTAAAAATTATTTAAGTAAAAACATCAGAAACGAGTATCCAAATCTTTCCCGAAAAGAAAAAACGAAAGTTTTTAGCCAAGCCCAAATAGAACTAGAAGATTTTTACAAGACGTGGTTTGCACGTTTTACAAAAGAGGAAAAAGAGAAATGAAAAGAAGATGCGGGAAGATTTATTAATAAGAGAGGAGAATTATTTTCCGAAGTCGTTGACTGCATATTAAGAGACTGAAATAAGATTATAAATGGGTGCTGTAAAAATTCGCGATCTGCAATTGGAAATCTACAAGTCTTACTTTTTAATCTGCAAATCTTTACGAAAGTTGACGAGAGTGGAGAAAGCGAGTTGGAAGCAATAATGTTTATTCTTTATGAAGAAAGAAAACAAGAAATCGACTATTTAATCAAAGAAACAGAGAGGAGAATAGAATTGGAGAATGTATTAAAAAGTAAAAGAACTGATGAGTTAATTGCTTTGAAAAATAGAATAATTAAATCTGAAAGAGATGTAGTTGAATTAAAAGCAGAAAAAGGACAAGTTGATGAAGAGTTGAATGCTTTGAAAGAAACAAATAAAGAATTATGGAGACAATTAAAAAAGTCAGAAAATACTAATTTCGCCTTGTGATGTTTTTTGGGAGTTAGTTTGGTAATAATAGCCGGTTTAATTATTATCTTAGTTCGCCAATACTTAAAAAAACAACTTCCCCCAAAATCGGGTAAAAAAAACCATAAATCAACCGGAGCGAGAAAGGGAAAAAGTAAACTATAATCTAACACTTGATTAGCGGATTATTAGTGTGAATAAAAGAGGGTTTATTTTACACGAGCAAAGGAAAGAAGTTAGTAAAATCAATATTGAGAGTGGTTAAGTAATTTTATTTTCCTTTTTTCGTTAGACAAGAAATTATGACTTTTTTGCTTGTTAATCCGGACTACAATGCCGATTATTGGGGAAGTAAAGCGGGTGAGGATTCTGCTTTCGGTCAATCACTTTTACTAATAGAACTTTCCTCAAAATAATTTCACATTTCCTCGGCCAGATGAGGAGCAAGAGGACTTAATAATTTTAAAAAGCCAATTCAGTAATCAAGTTTCATAAACTTATGTTTGGCTTCATAACACCGGTTAATAAAAGTCATGAGCGAAGCAATAACCAAATTTAGTTTAGACTTGTGGTAATAATCCGTTGCCTTGTTAACCATTTGGTGGTAATGGGGGCTGATTTCTTCGTTTTCGGTATTGAGAAGAATTGTTTCTCGGTAACTGACAAAAAAATTGTAGACTCGATTTAGCCATTTTTTCATGGCTCACACGCTTTTGGTGTTAAAACTAGTGGTTTGTTCGGGTGGCCCGAGAAAAATTTCGGCTAGCCGTAGAGCGTCGGCTCCGTACTTTTCTACTAATTCGTCCGGATTAACCACATTGCCTCGCGATTTTGACATTTTTTCGCCATCCGCCCCCAAAATTACTCCTTGACAAAGTAATTTTTGGAAAGGTTCGGGCTGGAAAACTACACCAATTTTGTATAAAATTTTGTGTCAAAAACGAGCGTAAAGTAAATGTAAGTTAGCGTGTTCTTGGCCGCCAATGTAGATGTCTACTGGTAATCACTTTTTTAAAATTGCGTGGGCTTCGGGACTGTGGAGAGGCAAGTAGTCTTGTTTTTCCTTGCTTGCCAGAGAATTAGTAAGTAAAAAAGCAATGTAATACCAGCAAGAGCCAGCTCACTGGGGCATGACATTAACGTCCCTTTTTCCCACAGTGCCATCCGGACATCTGTAATTTACTCAGTCAGTAGCTTTTTGCAAAGGAGCGTAATATTGTGAAGAAGGCCGAAAATCTGCCAACGGGGGTAAAGTTAATGGCAATTCTTGTTCGGCGATTAATTCTTTTTCGCCACTTTCCCAATGAATAACCGGGATTGGTTCACCTCAATACCTTTGGCGAGAAAAAATTCAGTCTTTTAGGTGATAAAATTCACCCTTTTGCCCTTTTTTTTCTTTTTCTAAATACTGATTAATAATTTCAATGGCTTTTTCTTTGTCGCTTAAATTATTAATCAAAGGCGAGTTAACAAAAAAACCGCTTATTTTTCCATTCCGGTTGTTTATTTGAAAAATCCTCTTAATCGGTAAATCGTATCTGCTAGCAAAAGCATAGTCAATTTGTTGGTTTTGTTTTAATTCCTTTTCACTAACCAAATTAAGTATTTCTTTGTAAGTAAATATTTCCGGAGCAAAAGCATTAATCATTACAGCACCCGTTCCGTATTCACTAACCACAAAATTAGCAACTCAGATTGGCAATTTTTCTTGGGTCAAGGGATGATAACAATAATTTCCGGTAAATTCAGCCTCTACTTCTTGGCTTGTTTCATCTTTTCAAATAGCACAAAATTTATTTATCTTGGTTTGCTTATCTGGAAAAGTAATTTGAGTGATAAGAGGATGTTTAACCGATAAGGCAATGGCACTTACTCCATAAAGGGTTTGGGGGCTTTTGGTAAAAACAGCAATTGTCAAATTTTTATCTGCCACGGGAAAATCGATAAAGGTTCCTTTTTGTAATCCTATCCAATTTCTTTGTAAACTTTTAATACTATTGGGTCAATCTAATTTTTCCAAGCCGGCCAAAAGTTCTTTCGCATAATTAGTAATTTTTAAAACTCATTGCGGGATGGATTTTTGTTCGACTGGATAAGAGCCACGTTCGGAAACTTTTTGCCCGTTCAGTATCCTAATTTCTTCGTTCGCTAGCACTGTGCCTAATTCTTTGCACCAATAAACCGGAATCTGCTTGTATTCAACTAAACCTTGCTGGTAAATCTGACGAAAAATCCACTGGGTTCACTGATAATAAGCCGGCTCGCTAGTGTTGATTTCTTTGCTCCAATCATAAGAAAATCCCATTTTTAGTAATTGTTCCTTAAATTTTTTGATATTATCTTGAGTAAAAGTTGCGGGGTGGTTGCCAGTTTGTATCGCATATTGTTCGGCTGGCAAGCCAAAAGCGTCCCAACCAATTGGCATTAACACATTATAGCCTTTCAGTCGGTAAAACCGAGCCAGGGCATCAGCAATCGTATAATTTCGAATATGTCCCACGTGTAGACCGCTCCCGCTCGGATAAGGAAACATGGCCAAAATGTATTTTTTTGGTCGCGAGTTAATCTGCAAATCCGTCCGAAAAGTCTGATTTTTGGCTCAATATTCTTGTCATTTTTTTTCTACTAACTGGTGGGAGTAAGACATTATTGTTTTTTTTATTTGGATGAAAGTTCAGATAAATATCTTCCTTTGACACTTTAAAGCCTTAACATTTCAAATTTTCACTTACTTATCCTAGATGCAAATTGACAATAAAGAGAGAGCGATTCAAAAGAAAATTCGAAGCGGGAGCATCAAGTATCCTTGCTTCTTTTTCAACGCTTTTTATCAATTTTCTCCTGACAAAATTCCCCCCTACAATTAATAATAAGTCATGAGTGAAAAAAATTATCCAAATTATTACCAAATATTAGGAGTAGACCTCGATGCTTCCGACAAAAAAATTCGAGAAGTTTTTGTCAAGTTATCCTTAGAAAGACTTGAAAAAGAAAAGAAAGGGGAAATTTCGATAGACGAAAGCACTTCCTTAGCACTTGAAATGATGGAGGCTTATGGTGTTTTGTCCGACCCCGACGAAAGAGGGAGATATGATTGATATGTTTTTGCGGAATGTGCTAGGTATTTTCGACCTAATTTTGATATTGAAAAAGAGAAGATTGAAAAAAGATAAAGAATAGACTTTTGGAATGGCGAAAGAAAGAAGATGAGTGATACAAAATAGCGGATAGAGAATTGGAAGAATTATTATTGAAAATGAAGAAAGCATTAAAAGACTTAGAGGACAAAGCATAAATTTCCTTCCTTTTCAATCATAAAAAAACACCTTTTTAGTAATTTTTATTTACAATTTAACAGTCTTATAAGGACGTAACGTTGCTATTAGAACAGAACAACAATCGCAATTCAAAATCCCTAAAAAAAGAAAATTAATAAATAAATGTCCGTTCAAAAAACAATTGCCGCAAAAACTCTTAATTTTCGCACTATCACCAAAAAATACCGCAAAAAACAAGTTATTCTTTATCTTTTGGGGACTTTAAGTTCCTCATTTAGTTTCATTATCAAAGAAAATGCAGCCGGCAAAATCTATGACGTTGTCAAGGGGAAAAGACGAAACCTTGATTTTATTCTTTTCTGAACCAATACTCATACTTTTTCCACCTGGCAATCTTTTGCCTGGTTTATGGGCGGAGTTATCGTGGTCTACTCTCTAATAGCAATGGCTCACGTTTATTACCGTCATTATTTTGCTAACAAGATTATTTACGATGTTAAGCGGGATATTGTTCGTAAGATTTTACAAATCCAAGGGAATTGCTCGGAAAAGGAGGCCCTTAATGTTCTTACTTATGATGTGCGAAATTTTGCGGACATGGTAATTTTTGTTCCTAACCAGATTTTTCTTATAATTCTCAGTGCTATTTTTACTTTTATCGGTCTTAACAAGGCTCGGGATAATGTTTTGGGGTGAGGAAGTGCTTATTCTCTTCTAATAGTGTTAATTTGTTTGGTTTTGGACTACTTGCTTTACCAAAAGGACTTGTTATTTCAAAAACAGTTAGAAAGACAAACTAAAAAAGAAAATTTTTTAATTAATAATCTTAATCTCATAATCAAAAAGAGTTTGCTCTTTACTTTTCAAAAAGAATATCAACCAATTGTAGCGAAAACGAGAAAAGTTGCTAACCAGAACGATTTTCTTTACACAATGGCTTTCGTGGTTCCTTCTTATTTACTAATTCCGCTCGCGAACCTTATTTTGCTCCCTTTTATGGGGAGTAAGGAAAGTTTTCTCGCTCTGGCAATGCTGACAAAACTCTTCGACGAACTAAAAAAAATGATTGAAAGGTTATGAAATTATCCTTATTATTTTTCGGCCAAAAAGCGTTTGAATGAATTCTTGGCTCGGAAAGAGCGGAACGACATTCAAAACAACTTGGTTGTAAAAGAACCAATTGCGGTTATTTCTTTTCAAGAAGTAAGTTTCGCTTATGAACCAAACAACTTGGTTTTAACCAAAATTAATTATCAATTCCAAAAGGGCCAACTTAACCATTTGACGGGGGTTAACGGGTTCGGTAAAAGCACAATTATTAGTTTGCTTACCGGATTATATAAGCCCTCTGCTGGAAAGATAATCGTTAATAACAATTACCAACTCAGTGATTTAAATCTTCATGTGTGAAGAAATAAAATCGCTTACGCCGAACACCAAAATTTAATCACTAATGGTTTATCCACTGGACAAAAACAATTAGCCGACTTAAATAATCTCTTTACTGCTAGTGTCGACAAAGAAATTTTTATTTTCGACGAAGCCGACAACGCTCTCGATGCCAACCATCGCCAAGAATTCCGCAAAAAAATCACCACCCTTAGTAAAAAGAAATTGGTTATTTGGGTGAGTCACCAACGAGACGAAGATTTTAAGTTAAAATCTCTTAGCCAAAAAAATTCCTCCTCTAATAACACTCATTAAAAACTTTTGTTTTTTAAAACCGTCTGCCGATGTAATTTGCGGTGAAAATTAAGTGCATAACGATGAACTTCTTCTTGGCAATTAGCAAAAAAATTTCTAATTCGTTCCTGGGAACCAAAATCTAATTCCGTTAATTCCCTAGTAATTATTTTGGTCGTGCAGTGTTTTTCGTTCTTAACTAATCCAATTACTAGCACCGGCAATTCTAATCTTTTTAAAACATGTTGTGCCGCTTTTACTTGCTCTTTCCCCCCATCAACTACTAGTAAATTTGGTATTTTCTCTGCCGAAAATTTTTGGTAGTGAATAGTGACGGCTTTTTTAATTCGGGCTATATCACTATCATTATCAGTGCCGTCCAACTTATACAATTTACTTCTTCGCAAGTCCCTTTCTCCATTAGTAAACGCCAAAAAACCCGCCACTACATCCTGCTTATAAAGATTGGAGATATCCAAACATTCGATATAATATGGCACCGGCAGACCCAAAAATTTGCTTATCTCGACCAGCACCGGATTTTTGTTAACTTGTTGAAACTCGTTCCAGTAATTTTTTCGTCAAGCCTGATAAGCATTTTGTTGAGCCAAATTCAAAATCGCTTTTTTTTTCCCTCGCCGAGCAATTTCTAGCCGAAAACCCAATTCTTCGGCCAAAAAATCCTGGCCGTTAATTGTTTTCGGCAAATATAAAATCTGCGGGGGGAGATTTTTTTGGTAAAACTGGTAAAGATAAGATTGAATTATCTCATCTGGATCAGTTCAGACTGGAAAAGACGCCTCCGCTGTATTCGTCAACTTACCGTAACGATAAATAAGCAAAAAAAGCGTAATAATGTTTTCAGAGCCACCAGCCGCACTAGCCGGCAATTCCTCTGAATGAATACCCAGAAAATCGTAGTCGTTATTTTGTTGAAATTCGACATTTTGTTTGCTAGTAAAAAAATCAATATTATCCAGGATTTTTTTCTCTTTTTGAGCGATTTCAAAGGCTAAATCTTTAATATTTTTTCGCAAAGAATCCAGGATTTTTTTTTTAATTTCCTGGGTCTGACCGTGAAAAAATTGGCTAATTTGTTTCCGCGTTTTTTCGTAGTAGGATTTATCTATTACTTGCCAACAATGACCGGAACATTGGCTGATGGTGTAATAAAAACACGGCTTTCCGAGATTACCTTTACATTTAGCCAAAGGAAACAATCTTTCTAGTAATTGTAGTATCTCGCGAGCCTTGCTGCCGTCCGGAAAAGGACCAAAATACGAACTTTTTTTTTGCGGGTCAATTTTCCGCACCACTTTATAGCGAGGATTTTTCTCGGCTGTAATTTCAAGGTAAGGATAATAATTGCTATCTTTTAGCAAAACATTAAAACGGGGCTGATGCTTTTTAATAAGATTTTGCTCTAAAATTAATGCTTCCTTAACATTCTGGGTTAAAATAATATTGAAGTCCCAAATTTGCTGCCGAAAATAATCACTGACTGGGGTCTTTTGCCAATAACTACTAATCCGATTTTTCAGATTACGGGCTTTACCAATATAAATAATTTCTCCTTGTTGATTAGTGAATAAATAACAACCACACTGCGGGGGTAAATTGGCTAGTTTTTTTTTGATTGAGACAAAGTTTTTTGACACCTTCCTTTACGAACTAGTCTCTGTTATTTTTCGTTTGAGAGACTAACTAGAAAAAATTAACACTTTTTACCGATTAGAAAAAACGGGATTAATCATCACTACTACACATTCAAAGTGCAATAATTCCTAACGCAATCACTCCAATAATAGAACCTATTGTCACCCAAGTTCAGAATGTAACTTTTCTTTCAAATTTTATACAATCTAAACACAAGAAAGTGCCCTTCCGCCAACATCCTTTTCCGTCTTTGATTATTTGGTCGCAACCTCGTCAACTAGCCCATCCTCCGGAACAACAAAAACTGTTTTTTAATACTGCTTCTCCATTAGGAGATAACAAATCGCTACCATTACTCTCTTTCTCTCCCTCTACATATTCGTTAAATTGTGTTTGTATTTCGTTATTTATGTTTTCCATATTTTTATTTTAATTTTTTATGTTATATTATTTTAATTATTTTAAACCAAATCATGACTAACCAGGGTGGCGATATTTATAGTAAACTGTGGTCTATTCAGAACGAAGTGAAAAAAATAGTGCGTAGCGAAGAAAACAAATTTCAGAAATATTATTTTTTTAATGAACTACAAGTGTTAAAATTGCTTAAACCCTTGCTGGAAAAATATCAAGTAGCGATTTTTCTGACTGATGACAGTCGCGAGCCTTTTTTTTGCGAACAGAAAGGAAGTAATTTTTTGGTTAAATACTTAAAAAGATTAGACATTGTTGATATTGCGAGCGAAACAACCAGTAAG